TGGTTAAAAATCCATTATGAACTTCAAAATTTAGAGTCATAGTACGACCTCCTGAAATGAAATGAGAAGTTTTAGTAAAAGTAATAAATAGAGGACCAGTTCGGTAACGTACGTAATATATCTAGTAGTTATATGTAAACTGGTATGGCGAACATTCGAAAGAACACGAGAAGGCACTATTTATGTAATTATTAATTGATATTGCAATAAGTACAGTCATTTCTATGCTCAATTTTTTTTTTACTTTAACATTGCTTAGAACAAAATAGAGAAATGTGAGTGTTCAAAAGATAAATGCAGTGTTATTATGTACGATTTGTGAAAACATGCTAACCCAAGCTTTGATACAAATTGACCAAATGCTTTATAAAGGGTGTGCAGTTGATTTCTGTTTCATATAGGATACAAGTATTTAACAACACTTTTTTGCCAATACACAATCGAAAAAGAAAAGTTTATGCCAGTTTTATTTAGTAATGTTCGAGTTCGGTTGTTCTTAAGTAGTAAAACAACAAATAGGAAAACATGATTGATTACGCTTTTACCTCTGAAATTCCACCAAAAATTTGCTGAAATTACACCCTTGCAATGAACAAGGTAGGCAGGTCTGAAGATATGACCAATCATGGCTTTATAGTTTTAAAGAAAAATTCAAATGTATTCATTCATATGGAAAACTTTAATCGTCCATAGTGGCCCCGTCCTACCCTCCTGGGGGTCATGATTTGAACAAACTTGAATCTACTGGTACACTGCCTGAGGATGTTTTCAAATAAATTTTGTCTTTCCTGGTCCAGTGGTTCTTGAGAAGAAGATTTTTAAAGATTTTTCCTATATATTCCAGTGTAAATCTTTGATTGTCAATTGTGGCCACGCACTACCCCCGGAGGGTCATGATTTGAACAAAATTACCGTATATACTCGCCTATAAGTCGGTCCGCCTGTAAGTCGGTTTCAGTCTTTGACGTTTTTTCGTTGGGATTTGCCATTGCCCCGCTTTTTTGTCACAATTGGGTGACAATTTCAAGTAAATTCAATGTTTTAACTGGTTTCAATTCTTGTGTTTTTAAATGTTTTTGATATCGATATTTTATCTTAAATTATTAAACAGATGGATAATGCTTACTTAAGATACAAAAAAAATTATCAAAATATGTAAATAATTTTTTTGTATGAACCAAGAATACATAAACTATCATGTACCGGTATATCCAGACATTTACTTGGATTAATCATCGGAACAGAACCAGTGGTTCTTGAGAAGAAGATGAAAATGTGAAAAGTTTACGACGACAACAACAACGACGACAACGACAGCCGACAGACAAATTTTGATCAGAAAAGCTCTCTTGAGCCTTCGGCTCAGGTGAGCTAAAAACGATACACAAAATTATGTATCTTATCGTAGAATCTACGTCGTATATGACATCACTAGTGATTGCATATGTTTAAGCTTTGCTAGATCCATATGACGTCATTATTAAGCAAATGCCACTTTTTCCCGTACTTTACATCTTCAATAAAAATTGTAGAAAATGAAGTATTTTGAGATTCACAAATATATACAGCTTGCAATGTGGTTTTGGTATTGAAATCGTTGTCAGCAACTGTTAAAATATTTATTTCAATATATATTGGAATCATTGTTAAAAGCACTTTTGAAATCAATAATTTTATCCATGTTGAAATCTTTACTTCAAAAGAGAACATTATTTCAATAGTGGTTGCAACCTATGTTTGTTTGTTATTCAAATGAATCTCACCCACTACTGAAATAATTCTTACAATAATGGTTGTTATTTCAATAGTGCTAATTATATTGAAATGCACTCTCTCCCACTATTGAAATAATTATTTCAATTGTGGTCGTATTTCAGTAGTGGTTACTATCTATGTTTGTTTATTGAAATGCACTCTCAACCACTAATTATTTCAATAGTGGTCTTATTTCAATAGTGGTTATTACCTATTTTTGTTATTGAAATACACTCTCAACCACTATTGATATTATCAATTCAATAGTGGTTGTATTTCAATAGTGGTTACTAACTATGATTGTTATTGAAATGTACTCTCAACCACTATTGATATAATTATTTCAATAGTGGTCGTTATTTCAATGGTGATTGCAACAATGCCTGCTCTAGACTTAGGGAGTAAGGACCCTCGATGGGTTAAAATCCATTGTGTGACGTGGATCGAGACAGGGCAATGGGATGAGATCTTACAAACCGAGGACCCGAGTCGTAGTAGGGGTAAGTTGGCACGAAAGAGAGACTTCGCTGATAAATTACACTATAGTGCAGAGTCTTAGAATAAATTTGCAACCCTCCACCGGTTTGGAATGGCAAAACAGTTCAGGGGTTGTAATGACGTTCAAAAAGGGGTACTTCTCTTTGCTTAAATGTTCTATTAATGGAGAGGTTATCTATAGGCTTAGCCTGTTGCTCAATCTATTCAGATTGTACTGAATAAATATTGTTTAAATCAATATTCTACCAAGTTTTATCCCCTGGAAAAACTGGCTTAGATTTAGGAAATATTTATATGTGGTTTTGAAAAATATAATGCATTCATAGTACTTGCTTTTAAATGCCAAAAAGATAAGAGAGACGAGATATGTGAAAGTTAATGTCGATTTGTAGTGAGGGTGTTTAAAAAGTAAAGTTTATCATGTATGATAGATCATAAATGTTGAAGTCATTCAATCAAGCAAATGTGCTGTTAAGTAGAATCAAGTAAGATTTTTAGCTCACCTGAGCCGAAGGCTCAAGTGAGCTATTCTGATCAAAATTTGTCCGTCGTTGTCGTTGTTGTCGTCGTTGTAAACTTTTCACATTTTCATCTTCTTCTCAAGAACCACTGGGCCAATTTCAACCACACTTGGCACAATGTATCCTTGGGTGAAGGGAATTCAAGTTTGTTCAAACGAAGGGCCACGTCCTTTTTCAAGGGGAGATAATCATGAATTTGTTAAAAATTAATGGCATTTTTAGAAATCTTCTTCTCCAGAACAATTGGGCCAGGAAAGATGAAACTCATGTGGAAGCATCCTCAGGTAGTGTAGATTCAAGTTTCTTCAAATCATGACCCCCGGGGCAAGGGTGGGGCCAAAATGGCCGACCCAAGTTTTACATAGGAATGTATAGGAAAAATCTTTTAAAATCTTCTTCTCCAGTACCACTTGGCCAGGAAAGATGAAATCATGTGGAATCATCCTCAGGTAGTGTAGATTCAAGTTTGTTCAAATCATGACCCCCGGGGCAAGGGTGGGGCAAAAAAATGGCCGACCCAAGTTTTAGATAGGAATATATAGGAAAAATCTTTAAAAATCTTCTCCTCAAGAACCACTGGCCAAAGAAAGATGAAACTCATGTGGAATCATCCTCAGGTAGTGTAGATTCAAGTTTGTTCAAATCAAGACCTTCGGGGCAAAGGTGGGGCCGAAATGGCCGACCCAAGTTTTAGATAGGAATATATAGGAAAAATCTTTAAAAATCATCTTCGCCAGAACCACTGGGCCAGGAAATATGAAACTCATGTGGAATCATCCTCAGGTAGTGTAGATTCAAGTTTGTTCAAATCATGATACCCGGCGCAAAGGTGGGGCCGAAATGGCCGACCCAAGTTTTAGATAGGAATATATAGGAAAAATCTTTAAAAATCATCTTCTCCAGAACCACTGGGCCAGGAAAAATGAAACTCATGTGGAATCATCCTCAGGTAGTGTAGATTCAAGTTTGTTCAAATCATGACCCCCGGGGCTAGGGTGGGGCCAAAATGGCCGACCCAAGTTTTACATAGGGATATATAGGGAAACCTTTTAAAATCTTCTTTTCAGGTACTTCAAAGCTATGATTAGTGATATTTATATGGAATCATCCTCAGGTAGTGTAGATTCTAGTTTGTTCAAATGATGAACGCCTGTAGGGGGGAGGTGGAGTAAATTCAAGCCTGATGTGCTCAGGTGAGCGCTGTGGCCCCTGGGCCTCTTGTTTTTCTATGTATAGATCTATTTACAATATTATATGCATTGAAATCAGCTGTTCATTGTACAATCAAATAAGCAAAACCTGTTGAAATTTTTAATTGACCCCAAGAAATCTCATCAAGAGTGTAAGGTTGAAAATGCAGACCTCGAAAAACATGTCATGAAACTAAATGGCGACAGCGCCAGGTGATTGTATAATGTCTTTTTTTTTAATTTTATGATAACATGATTAATATTCATATCAAGCTTAAATCTTCAACATTTCTTTAACTTTTGTTGTTTTATGTTCCTTAAAAAAAAATTGTAAATAGACATATTATTTATTTTATCGCATCAGTCTACGAACTTTTCGAACAACCCTCGTATATTAGATTAGAGCTGAACACGACTCATAAATAGGTATACGCCATTTTCGATATGATTATCAACGGTACATCAACACCAGGGTATACTCTTCAGATTCGTCACACCTGACTGTTTTATTGTCACGAGTATTGGCGTGGAATCATTATGGCGACCCGTGTTCGTGCTGGATATCCTGCATTATCTTTGTTTCAATTTTACTGCAATTACGTGTATCTATGACCTGTACAACTATAATTGTAAGTTGTAATATAAGTTTCTTTGATATCTATCTTTCCTGCATTAGACGAAGTATTACAGGTGTACGTTATTATTGTCGGTACCGAGTGATGTATAGCATACGTCCGTCTACACCGGTGTCGACTAATTACACAAAACGGTGACAAAGTCCGGCCCTTTATATAGGGGTCTGCAGGTATAGCGATTCTCCGAATAAAAATGGTCGACACTTTTATTTTACGAATTGTGTTTAGCTTTTAATTTGATGAAGATTGTCAGTCACGAATATATCTTGTTTTTGGACTTGACCTGATTTAAAGTAGATAAGATGAGGAAACTATATGTACTTTGACAAATAGCAATCAAGCTCATAGTTACTTTGGCTCCACTTTAAACTTTTCTTGTTAAATTTGAACTCAACAGCCAATGCCAACACTACAATATTTGGTGAAATAATTTCGTATACTTTTGACTTCATTTAATTTCAACTTTCCTAATAATTTTTCTTGTTGAAATTGACACTTATGTTATAAACAAGGAGACATATCTAAATCCTTTTCGTCTAAATCCTCTTATATTAAAATTAATAAAGTTACTCATGTAGAAAAAAGTTACAACTGACTGAAGTACCCCAAAACAAATGCTCTGTAAATGCAAAATGAACATTTAATTTTAGATTTAGGAGCCTTTTTAAAACTTAATGTAAGTATAAAATTCTGGGTTGTTTTTGTTTGATTTTTTTGTAGATTATTTTTTTAGTTTATTAAATGTTTACTTTTGAAAACATATTTCTCAAAACCAATTATATCTATGCAGGCAGTTAGATGTGTAAAACATATTGTTATATGATTTCCAAAAAATACTTATTTTTTTCTGCGCTTTAGAATATAGCATGTTTAAATATGCACAATGTTCACATGAAATTATTCTATGGAACTTTTTAAAACCAATATTGTCTTTTTCTTTACAAAAAGTGATTGGGCTTTTAAATAGGTGCTTGTTAATTTATTGTGACCGAAAATATATCGGTTATATTTACATACATATATCTATTAAAAGATTTATGTAAAACAGAATTGCTTTATAAGAAAAATCATATAAATGAACTATGACTAATATATTACGACAAAAATATCCTTAGGACAACAAAACAAACAACTGAAAATTGGTGCATTTTGGCGGAAGGCAGGTTTAGACAGGTAAACGATGTTTATATCTTCATAAATCATTCCGACTATGATGTAATTGTCATAAAAGAAACAGCATTGTGGCTCGTTGTGTAACTTTCATACCCTTGATTTAGATTGTAAACGTTAAGTTTCGTTGTTAATTAACTGTTATCAATAAATTGTTATCAAAGGTATAAAAAGAATCCACAATAAATTATTTACATGTAATCTCTGTGATTGTGAGAATCCTAAATAAAAAATTGGTATAATAAATATCCTTACAGAATTATGAAAATGAATATCACCAGCTGGACGACACAAATTCATATGTTGAACTGGTAATTTATATTGATAGTATTATTTTTACAGTTGAAATAATATGTGCACTATTAAATAACAACGTAAGTAATTTTAAACTTTTCTTAAAAAAAAAAAAAAAAACCCTTAAAAGAAAAAGACAACAAATGCATGAATTACGGTATTTTATTACAATTGGAATAAAATAGTTTTTGGTTAAAATGTTAATAAGTGATAAATGTAAAACAATAAACACGATAAAGAAACAAGAGAAAGTTTCGAAATTTAATGAGCAAAATTAGAATAGTAAACATGTTTGTATATACTATAGGATCAAAAACATGTTCGTATATACTATAAGATCAAAAACATGAACATTAAACGAGGAAAACTTAATGACTTCGATTTCCTTTTTCATGTAAATCCCGAATTTGGAAACAGATTTCGAAGAGGTAGAAGCAATAACACATCAAAATACATCGAGGATTTGTTTTAAAACAGTTGTCATCTCCGTCCTCTTTGTCGCAGTCGTCGGCTTTGTAACGATGACAGTTTTATATATTCAGGAAAGAAGTAAACGGGAAAATGAAAATGACGGTAAATTTTATACTTTCAAAATACTGTATTTAATGCATTTGTATCATATTTCATGTCATTTCTTTTCGTATTTCAAGGTGAAGACAAAACCAGATGGCTTCCTTAAGATTTCTTTTTATACCACTACGCTCCACATACATTGTAAACCCTTAACTGAATAGACTGACTTTGACGGAGTAAACATTCGGGCCGTACAATGAGGATACTAAGTTTAACATCGATAAGCCACTTTAATTAACCAATCAGAGCGAATAAAATAGAAAATGCAGGGAAATATTGAAAGTAGGTTAAAATCTCAATTTTTTTACTTCAAAGCAGAGACAAGCCATGCCCTTGTTTATCTAATAGTTTAATTATTAACTGGTTTTTTATTCTGTTAATCTTTCATGAAAACTTTGATAAGGTCAATCAGAGAGAGCATCCTATAGTCAGTCTATTTCCTCAAATGCTTTTGTAGATCTGGATTAGAAACCCCTAATTTAGGAAGATGGCTGATGGGAAAAAAGTATGAGTTTAACAGTGTTAGATTGCACTTGCAAATTGACATTTAACCACATTGTGTTTGTCGAGTGTCCATTTGCACTTTTCCCGAATATCATATACATGTACGGCTTTGTAAAATTTCCTACTTCAATTTTGTGATTCAAGAGTATTGGAATTTTGCGAAGAGCGCTGACTTTTACAGTCCACAACTTATTTTTACACTTTGACAATATACGGAAATTCTTTTGCAGTAAAAAATAATCCAGCTCAACGTTGAATTTTACTAATATAGAAAGTTTTCGACTTGCCAAAATTTAGCAAAAGTTACCTCCCGTTGGCCGCCATATCGGAGGTCGACTAGGTGATTTTCCCTCTCTGTCTTACCATGTTTGAGAGGTTGTAGCAGAAATATTTGGTGGAGAATCTTTATTACATTTTTTTTCAAATAAAGGAAGCTTCCAAAAATTTATATACTTCTGGAAAATGATGATTCCTAATTTAAAAGAGCAAATATGAAAATTAAAAATTGAATGAACAATATACTAGGAATATGAGCATTTGGACTTCCAATATGGCGACCAACGGAAAATAACTTATGCTAAGTCGAAAACTATCTTTACCGAGCTGAAATAAGCACACACAAGTTGTCCATAAAGAATCCGAAAACAATCTAGCCCTAAATTGCGCCTGACACATTTAATACATTGATTTTGCTGGGTGAAAAAACTATTTAAAAAATAGATTAATCAAATGAAGCCATAAAAAACGTTATTTTTCTGACATGTAGGTACACTGTAGTTTTTTTTAAGATGAGCTGACAATAAACAACTTTTTTACTCATGATAATATTTTCTTTAATTTATTGAAATTTCTATGAAAGCCTTTTTTATATGTTAAACATTTTTATTTCTATGTCTGTCCCAAGGGGAAACTATTGGTCAGAACCAGAAAACAGTGGTTTGTCCTAATGACCCCTTTAAAGGAATGAATTATACTACAGCAGGAAAAACAGGTACCGGGTACTTCAAGGATTTTTTTTTAGTATTTTGTATTGTTTATCGACTTTGATATTTAATATTCTTCTTTATCTCCATATATCCTTCTTAGATTTAATTTAATATTTTGAAAAGCCTTTTTTATGCCCCGAATCTAAAGATTCCCGGGGGATATTATTTGTCCTGTCTGAATGTTTGTTTCTTGTCAACTGTAACATATCCCATAACTATTGCGCTGTCGAGTGTAAGTGTCTACAACTTCAGACAGTCTTCGTCCAACTCTAGAGTTTTGTAACCATCAAGGGCATAGTGTTTCACAAACGCATCTTCTTAAATTATGTTAACGTGTTTAACATTTTTATCATTTGGTTTATAGGAATTCAGGGACGCCAGTTTTTGGTCTGTTTTACTGACAATCTCAACATGGCAAGTGACCAAACCAAGACCATATATATTTTATCGGATGGAGATTTTGAGTTTAAATTAATTTCAAAGTTTTCTATACACAGCTCTTCAATGAAGTTGTTACACCAAGGAAAAATGCGAGAGAAATTAGCATTACAAGTGCGATTTCACTCTCAGATTTCAAAATCGAAGAAAAAGCACTGCTGATCGAGACTTCTAGAGACGTGTCCATTATCATCATTGACAATTATATATATACTTCTGATAGCACTAGCATTTTACCAATAAAATCAACATCAAATTCATACGTCATTTCTACACCCAGTGCGTTGAGCAAAACAACAGATCCTCAATTTGCAATAGCCTCCAGAAGGAACAGTACTACAATCAAAATACACTTTCAGTTTGATCCCGATTTGCCAAAGAAAGTAAATGGAATAACGTACCAAAATGGCAGTGTAATGCACCTCGTCTTAAATGAGCTTGAAACATATGAAATATACCACAGAGTCGACATGTCAGGAACCTTTATTGATTCAACATCTCCCGTCGCAGTATTTTCTGGAAGTTACTGTACTGAAATAGGTTTTAAAAACAGCACTGATTTTGGATCTTGCAGTAAGCTTGATGAACAACTTCCACCTATTGATAGGCTGGATAAAATGTATGTTGTCCCACCTAATTATAACAGAATGGGAACAGTCCTAAAAATTGTGTCACCTTTCCAAACCAGACTTACATATAAGATTGGAAATAAACAAACGGAGAAAATACTTCAACCGAGAGGTTATTTTGAAATAACTTTTTCTGATAAAGAAGTCGTCGTCATAGATTCAGAAAAGCCGGTTTTGGTTACCAGCTTTGCCACTGGGTCTAGCGACACGGGTAACCCTTATATGATTACTGTACCAGGAATTAGACAATATACAGATAAATATCTAGTTACGGTTCCCGAAGATTTCAGAGAAAGCTACGTGGCTATAATAGTTGAGGAAAAATCCCTTATCAATTTGATGTTAAACGAAACAAAAATTATTCATTACTTGAATGACGGAAAATTTTATAATACCGTAACATTCTGGAATATTAACTTTGTCGTTGTTGTTTTACAAGTACAGGGAGGTTTTTTAAGAGTTGAATCGACAAATAATGCGGCGTTTGGGTTAATCGTGTATGGTCATAGAAGAAGAGATGGACACGGATTTGCAGGAAAATCAGTTTTGCCGGACGTGTGTGTCCCTTTCAATAAATAATTCTATTTCTTTTTCACTTCTTTTTAATTTTTTCGAATGTGGAGCCATTGACAGTAAAGGATATCGGTGCAAACCCTCTTAATTCACTATTGAAGTTTTGTTTTTAGCTCACCTGAGCTGAAAGCTCAAGTGAGCTTTTCTGATCATCCGATGTCCATTCGTCTTGTACATTTTTGACAAGTTCAACTTCATGTCAAGAACCACTGGGCCAATTTTAACCAAACTTGGAACAAAGCATCCTTGGGTAAAGGGGACTTAAAATTGTTAAAATGAAGGACCAAATCCATTTACAAGGGGATATATCTAGAAAAGACAAAAATAGGGAGGGTCATTAGAAAATATTCTCTCAAGAACCACTAGGAAAGCTGAAAGTAATATGGAAGCATTCTTGGATAGTGTAGACTCTTAAATGTTAACATCATGACCCCCGGGGCTAGGGCGGTGCCACAAAATTTTTAGGGGAAATCTTTCAAAATCTGTTTAAGAACCTATGGACTAGGAAAGCTGAAACTTAAATGGAAGCATCCTGGAGTTGTGTAGATTCTAAATTGTTAAAATCATGACTCCAGGGGCTAGAATTTGGTCGAAATAGGGAATTCATGTTTAAGATAGAAAAATATAGGACAAATCTTTTAAAAAATCTTCTTCTCAAGAACCACTTGGCCAGAAAAGCTGACACTTATGTGGATGCATTATAGTAAATGGGGTAGAGTAGATTTTACTAAAGTGAGTGTTGTGGCCCATTGGCCTCTTGTATTTCATTAAATTCTGAGTCTATTGCTGTATGTTCCTTATTTTGATGCGTTAATTTGAAGACAAAAAAACTTGATTGATCGACATGACTGTTTATAAGTACAAAATTAAAATATATTCAGTAATAGTACATGTGCATGTACATGAATAATCAATTATCTTTGTACTCCAGAAATGAAAAAAAATGTTGCTTTTATTAAAATGTAAACAAAGACAAAAGAAAGTAAAATAAAGTTTTGGTTCTTGTTATTACTTAAATACATGTAAGACAGAACTCTCGTGAGGTTAGACTGTAACGATGCAATACGTAATATCGCAATTACCTCGCAGATATCTTACTTAATACCACTCTTTTGCGGAGGAGTCGAGAAAGCTCTTAATCTCTGGGCCACATGATATTGTTTACAGTAGTGACAATCGAATGATTCGAACAATTTTATGCCGAAAGTACAATGTATTGCAACGGATTGTACTCAAAATTGAAGTCAAATAAGAAAAATTTAAAACATTTATCAGCTTTAAAATGTGACGATTTTCAATGAAAATTTAATGAAAAAAGTTTGTTTGGATAAATATCGTAAATTATATATGTTTGCAAAACACAGATGCCTCCACATGGCAACATAGCGAAGGTAAAGCTTTCTCAAATGTAGATTTAATATGTTGGCACCTAAAGTAAGGCCTTTTCACAAAAATACAAGTGTGAAAAATAAAACTCTAGCACAACCTATTCAAAGGTTATGTCCAAGGTCAAAGATAAAAGGTAGCACAAAAGGTCAAGGTTGTTGGTTTCTAAAAATAGGCCTTGTCTCAACGATTACATAAGGAAACCGTTCAAAAATTATTGTAAAGGTTGTATTTTTAAAAATAGGTCAAACTCCAAGATCAAAGGGTAAAAGTTTTTGGTATCCAATGAACCGTCTTTTCACAATAATTACAAATGTGAAGCATGAAAGTCCTAGCCTTTTCCGTTTAAAAGTTATTGCCAAGGTAAAAGTTTTCATAAGTACAAAAATCCCAAGGTCAAAAGGTCAAAGTTGTTGAAACTCAATGAAAGGTCCTTCCACAAAAAAAAAATATATATATATATACATGAAATATAAAAGTCTTGGTATCTTCTGTGCAAAAGATGTAGACAAAGTTAAGAATGTTTTAGTTAAAGTGGGTCAAACTCCAAGGTCAAAGTCAAAAGATCAAATTTAGAAGGTTTTTAGAATGCATGCATCGGTAGCTCTCTGCTTTATCTGTCCGAATTTTCTCAAGCATAGAAATTCAGTTCTGCAGCTAGTAATTTTGCGTCGATTTATTTTTGCGAATCTGAGTCAAAGGGATGTTGATAATATTTCAAACTTCTGCGAAATCCCGGTTATAAATAGAGACCAACTGTCAGCCAAATTGTTCGTGTGCTTTGTTGATTTTTAAGAAAAATATTTTTTGCGAATGCAAGAGACACACAGATTTACAGTAAATATTTCAAAATTTACGGTAAAGTCTGAAGTATTTTCCTATCGTTAATGTGTCGGAAATTTTCTTATCAGCTTACGACAAACACATGACAAAATATAATTTTTACGAGTATTGCGGAAGGTTGTCATTATGTTGTTACTGCTAGCCTATGATAATGTTGATTCCTAACTATACAACGTAGAATAAAATTAAATATTAAATTGGGCTCTGACCAGTAGAGCTTAAAACAGAATTTAAAAAAAGGAACAGCAACCTTTTCGTACGTTATTAATATACACTTTTTCTCTATCTTTCCGGTCTGTCAATTGTTTTCATTCTTTGAAGAGCTACAATTTTTCAGCTAGCTCATAACTTTCTACTCAAAATTAAATTGAAAGTGAATTGAAATTTTTTTTTACAATGTGCATGAGTATAGATTTTCGATACTCGATTTTTTAAAACCTTTACAATCAACCAAGTTTTTTGTTTTAGTCGTAAGTTCTTTTTTAAAACGGAGATCAGTTCTTACGCCCCGTGGGGATCCAGGATAGAATAGGTCCTCAGTACCCCCTTGCTTGTCGTAAAAGGCGACTTTATGGGGCGGTCCTTCAGATGAGACCGTATAAACCTAGGCCCCGTGTCACAGCAGGTGTGGCACGATAAAGATCCCTCCCTGCTCAAAGGCCGTAAGTGCCAAGCATAGGCCTAAATTTGCAGCCCTTCACCGGTGACGTCTCCATATCCGTGAAATATTCTGGAGAGGGACGTTAAACAGTATACAATCAATCACCTTACCACTGCACCAAATCTCAGTCAAGTACAATTTTTCAGAGTCATAATAATTTGCATTCTAGTTTTAATGAATACATGCACCTGCAACGATAAAAATAGATTTCAAACTGGAAATTGTAAATGGAAAAAAGGATATTTTTTCCTACATGCTAATTTTGGAGCGGTATATTTTAAAGATGTTTCCTTAAATGTGTGTAAAGCAAAGTTAGAATACAAAGGGCTCTGAATTGTGTGTGTTTACGGCGTATTCGATCTGTGCATGTTGTACCGTATTTAATCTGTTGACAGAGTTTGCTTATTTCTGTACGGCACCCGATCGCCGCTTTAAATGTAACTTCGTCTAAAAATCCGAATGATATTGAGTAGATTTGTCATGTCCTTTTTATTGAACTGAATACGTTGAACAATGGAAATATTTTAGAGTATACGTTTAAGAGAAACTCAACTTCAAAATCAGGATTAAGGATATGCTATACATTTGTAGTATGTAAAATTTCAAGAAAACGAACATTTAACATGTTTATATATTATATATATATATATATATATATAATACCAAACCCAGTATCCCAAACAGATTGTGTGTCGTTTCCTTTAATGATGAATTGTTTATATATAGACTGAGTCCATTCCTTCCGTCAGTTTTCTATTTTGAATCACAGAGGAGAGGAACTCTTAGAAGGTAACCGAGATTCTTTTAGTTTTATTATGTTTTATATGTTCCAGTAGCTAGGCTACCTCATAAAATATGCTCTATACTTACATTATATATCTAATTAGTAATAAAAACTTTTACAAATATCAAAATAATAAACAAGTTAAATCCAGCATCATTACTATTTTGGTCTCATCGAAATTATTAAAATGCCGTCCAAAATATTTTTAAATTACAGGAAAAAAGTTATATTTTGACTGAACAAAAAAAAAGAAAAAGAAAAATGATGAAACATTTGAAACTTCCGCATAATTTCAGAAAAAGAACAATATATATCAGGGCAGCAAATGTGATTATAATCTTACACATAAACATGTACATAATAAACATTGGCCGCATTGCTTTTGACTGAGTGCCTAACACACAACGCGTCGAACTCGTTTATTATTTCCCTAATTCCATTTCTTTGTAGAAATAAAAGCTTGCCCACATTCTGTTTCAGTACATATTTATTAATATATGTATATTATTACACAAGGTAATTAAATAATTGATTTTGTTTGATTTACGTCTCTGTATATTTTTTCATTCGTATCGAGACGACTCCCCCTGCTTCAGGACTTAAATTAGACCTTTGTCCCCATTCAAAGCCATTAAGAGACGAGGGGTCTATTCCAATCCAACACCTAACGGGATCTCGGTTTATTCGGTGCCATCCGAGTGACTGGTCTCCACGTTCCACGAACAGTATGATTCGAATTGATGGTGTGAAGACACGATATTTGAACACACATTCACCACTGCGACGAGCGGGCGACTAGTATTACATGTACAGTAGCTATGTTCTTTGATAGATAAAGATATGTACAAATTTTTAATTTATGGTATTAAATGTTTTAAGAAAAATTCCGATACTTTTATTCATGGTAACCTTTTAAAAAGTATTATCAAATAAAAATACTTTACGAAAGAAGGAAAGTAAGCTCACCTGAAGTGAGCGTTTACTCTTTTATAAAGTAATGGTTACTAAGGCCAAGTCTATTTTAGTTTAACAACTTTTATTTTATTTGGAGATAAATCCCAATTAAAATATGAAACTTAATTACCAAAAGGGTGCTAAATTTGGAAGTTGTAACATAAAAACGTTCATCAGGTGTCGAGAAATAGTAGGTTTTCTGATGAAAAACGAAGAAAATGAAGATTTATCAAGGTCAATGGACACGAAATACATCTGGAATGTAGAAAACATGGAACTTTACATATATTTAAGAGGGGAATCAGAATCCCTGCAGTAGCAAATATCTCCTGTCGATCGGTCACAAAAGCTGTGTAAAAATATGCATCTGTTGAAATCATAAAACATTTGATAATAAACATTATGATGAGTATCAACCTTGACCTTTTTTATTGATATGTATACAACTTCAATTAAAGCTTGTTCTCTTTAATGATCCTCTGTATTAAACTACGATTTTTTTTCTGAAGAAAAAAAATGCGGAAATTTGTAGCGCGTGTGTTTAAGTGATATCTGAAGTTTTCTTTTTTTTAATATAGATAATAGAAATCACTTTTCTCTTTCCTGTTTTTGCGCTAAATTTTTATTTTCATTTCTCCAGCAGATAGAAGAGGAATGAACAAAACATTTATAGCTGTAAGTGCGGAGAATGATAATGAATTAAACTACATGTATTGCATTGTAGTAGAAAATGTTTTTTCAATTGAATATTTTAGAAATATGTTGTATATATATTTATTTTAAAAAATGCATATTATATATTAAAACAATAAAAACTTGAATGCTTTATGAACTTGTTAACTATAATTTGTATTTTCACTAAAAGGATACGACGGCAGAGGAGTATGAAATTGTTATGTCTTGTAATCCCAACACCGGTACATCAAATGAATCCCTGGTAAGTCAAAGGTCAACTCGGCTTGGCAAACATTTTAAGCATGAATATAGAACTAGTCAACAAAAATTAAAAACACCCCCAGAAAATTAACTTCAATGTTGAACAGTCCCAATTCATTTTCGATATAAAAAAAAATGTTTCTTCATCTTCGCTAGCCAAATGTTTCTTTGTACTATTCTCCTTGGCATACGGTGTAAAAAATACTAGGTAGAATTTTTTTTCTCAAATTGTGATTGGAATGGATCGACATTGATTGAACAATCGGCAACGGTTTTTTTTTTTGTAAACGACATCTGCTTTTTGGGATAAAATTTGATTCTTCACTCTCGGGAATGAGAAACGCAAGTTAATAACATGAATCACCTTCTACAAGTATGAAGAGATACATGTATCTTAAGATATGTGTAAAATATGAATAAGAATCTATATTAAAGATGATTGTTTGCACTTTAGTCTTAAAATAACAAATGAATCAATCAAAACCTTTTCGTTAATTAATCTTTAAAAACTCTTTTTTAGATGATATATTATAAAATATTTCAAAAATGCTTATGTTTTTTCCAAAAGAATCTAATTCATGATTAAAATGCACACATTTTCAGCATATCTTGTGGGATAGATTTTGACAAAAATGTCTTTTTAACGTGACAGCTTTATAAGGGAGTTATAGTAATTTTTACCAATTAGAGTTATCTGTCTTATTAGAGTTTCAATGAACTTTAATCACAAATATGTACTTTTCTTACCTCCATTATGCGGATAATTTCCTTTTCTTTAATGAATCATTAAAATTATCACCAATGTATTAGTTTTTTTTTTTTGTTTTTTTTTTTGAAAATAGTATAAAGTTTCAAGGCAGTAATCAAAGAAGCAAAATTCGATCATTCAGTTGAAATGCAAGGCAACTTAATTTCTTACATTTTTTCTTTGTTGAAGAATGATGGCCACGTACACGTATGAACCGGTAGGTCTATTTAATTATATAAGTACTTGTAAAAATCCTTATATTTTTCTTCATTGATAAACGTCAGCCGGTCTCAATTTTCTTCTCAATTTACACCGTACCTCCTCTTCAATCGTGTTCTTTGTTTTGCTAAAACTCAATCGTCTTCTTTTATACTTTCTATTTTCATTATTGTATTTTAAAGTATTTTTTTTGCATTTATTTCATTTACAGTTTCCTATGATTCATTATACTGAAGTTTTAATGATGTTAGAAAATAGGCTTATTGCAGCTATAGGTCAGGTGTGCAAATTTCCTTGTCTGTAGCTTGTGGTAGAACTGTTGCAGAAATGAGTCCTAGTGTCTAATACTGATTATACACTAATTATATTTACAAGGCGTTTGTGACCGGTCAGCAGCTAGGAATGCTCACTACTGCATGGCACCTGATCCCACCTCTGATGTTTCGGAGGCCCGTGTTTGCTCTATACTTCTATTTTGTATTGTTTTACTAGACTTAAATTTTTTATCTGTAACAGGAAAGGAGAAAATGTATGGCTGGACCGGGAATCGAACCCGGGACCCCTGTAACACTAGTCAGGTGCTCTACCGATTGAGCTATCCAGGCCGATATCCACGGCCCGAACCATTACATTCCTCCCTTCTTAAATGGTTTTCGCCCTCGAAGATACAACCCAAGTTCTTATTGCCCCTAGCAGGACTTTCACCTGCAATTCCAGGGGTGGTCAACGGCACCAAATCCATATCCTTGATTTATTCATTTTTTTTCTCGAAATGATGAAGACATTGCGGATCGACAAGGTACCTTCAAGGTACCTGATATTAGCTCTGCAGAATTTAGAGGCCCCTGTTTGCTGTCCTCCTCTCTTTTATTGATTGAATGGCCTTTTGACCTGCTTGTTTTTTTTTTCTTTTTGCATTATAATTTATTTGTAAGGCTTTATAAGATTGATAAGACTACTATGCTGTCATCCCTTCTTTTCGATGAGTAAAGGCATTAGCAGCATGATTTTTCGCTAATCGCTAATTTTGTCAAAAATTCCTGATTTACACTGTACCCAGTGTTTATGTTTGCTGTATAGTGCTTGTTTCCAATCATAAAATTTAATTAATCTTAATCATGAATATATCCGGTTTCTAATCATAAAATTTGTATTATAAACTAGAGGTACTGTGAGCAATGAGCTCACTAAATGATACCCCCCGCCTCCCATATGAATAAAATGGCAGTGTCCATGTTTGATCTGGAAAATTCAAAATACGTATATGTCAGATCAAAAAGTAAAGTAGGAGGTCACAATGGCAATATGTAATAAAGATTCTGTGAAAGTTTCATTAAATTTCCTTCAGTGGTATGAGAGGAGTTACGGATAAGAGATGGGTACCCCAAAGCGTAACAGACGGACGGATGTACATCCCGATTACTATATATATGTACCCTCCCGCTTTTCAAGGGGTATAATAAAGGCAGTTTCCAAGCATAAAATCTGTATTATAAATATATACTATTTCCAATCATAAAATCGATATTATAAATATATACATTTTCCAAGCATAAAATCTGTATTATAAATACGAGTGTTATTCGAAAAGTTCGCCTTTGCAGCTCCGTTGGGTTATCCGTTTTATAAGGTTACGAACCGATGGGGTATCACAGGTAGAAACCTAGCTCTCTTGTACGGTAAACTACATAAACTTCTAACACTGTGCTGTTAATTATAAATTGAATATGTCTCGCAAAGATTTATAAATTTGTGAACGGTGGATCCTATGACCTTGACGTGTATCTTATTTGAATTGTAGATAGAGTTCAAAGGTTACATTGGTAGTGAAGCTTGTGAGGCAATAGAGGGAACTAATTGCAGAGGAAATGAGTCTGAAAATCAAAGAAAACAAAATGAGGTAAAAATGAAATTTGAAATCAATTAAAATCAGATTCCGACCGTTTTGAAGAAATTATGTATCTGCAATGTCTTTACTTCTCTTCTTAATAGTTAGCTAAAGAAGTTTATAAGGGGTTGCTCACTCCTCGATGGCACCCAATCCCACCTCTGATGTTTTGAGGTCCGTGTTTGCTTTGCTCCTGTTTTGTATTGTTCTCTGGACTTTTGATTTTAAATACTGATCATTATATCCATATGTTTAATACTCATGCACATTCATATACACACAACTGTAATTTCAGAGGAACATTAAAATACAAATTTTAAAGGAACATTTAAATATAAAGTTTTATCACAACTGAATGAACCATAACTCTTTCATACAAACTATTATACAAACTAAATACATAACACAAACTCGAAGTTAATTCCCTTAGATAAACAAAACTCTATAAAATTGATATAGTCATTAATAGTTTCGAGTTTATTTTTGTGGTGTGTTCCCGTTTTGCACACATTTGATAATTAGGTGTAGAACAATAGGTGTGAATTATGTTTTTTCAATGCCTGAAATTCAAATGTGTGCAAAACGGGAATAAACCATTATTTTAAATTCTACATTCCCTTCTTTTTTTCAACTGTTTCATTTATAATATTTAAACGGCTTGTTCCCGTTTTGCTCACATTTGAATTTCTATGTTTTTTTTGTTACAGTCGAGTGGCGGACCATCATGTATTAACATTACAGAATTTTTGAAACAGAAGAAGGTTGTGATTTGTGCTGTTACTATTATAATAATTGTCGTTCTTGCATCACCTATTCTAGCTCAAGTATTCAGTTAATAATTTACTTTGGAAACAGACGAATGCATCACATTCTACTGATTATGCATACGAAACTCAACTGAACTGAATTTATGTAAATATATAGTCACATTTTTGTCTTTAAAAAAAATAGGTAATCAGAGATTACAGGGTTCTCCTCAACAAATGTTTGTCTTTAAGTAAGGCAAATTTCCACAAACTAGTAATCTAGAAATGTAAGAACATTCTTAATGCAAGTCTGAAGGTGTGCATCCATAAACGAATCATCCATGTAAGATTGGTCAACATAGGGCTTGCAACTACTCAGAAAAGGTTCTGCACCAAAAATTTTAGCCTGTTATATAGTTCAGATCCAGCATCTGATACACACCTTGTAGTATGCGTCCTTAGATGTTTCACCCATGCAAGTATGATCAACAAAAATTTGCTCTAAGTATATTGTCACTCCGTTCACAGTGGTGTGTGCAGACTAACAATTGAACACACCCGGTGAATCGTAAACATCAACATAACAGAGTTCGTGCCCTGTTTACAAAATCAGTTTATATTATATAGTTTATTTTATATTTTTCATCAAAACAGAAAGACATGAAACTTTAATTTCTTAAGCATTTAGAAGAAAATTTTCATTTGTTAAGGTGCAAGAATGTGTCAACCAAACCCCTCCAGAATTTCGAAGTTTCAATTCCTTTGAGATAAGAAAGATATTTCCTTTATTTTCGTGTTAAATGCAATTGCAATATTTAAGTCCTGATATTTTACAAAAAAAAAAAAAAATTGTAGAAAATATTATCTGTAAATCTATGTCTATGCACATTTAAGAAGCCATTGGCGACTGAGAAAATTCCACATTGATTCAAGAGTGCAAAACTTTTCATTTGTCCATTTGGTATCAAATTTAAAAGTTTATAATAATTTTAAACTGTTATACAATAAACTGAGGTTATGTTTTTTTTCCTTATATTGATTTTTAAGTCGGAGATTTTTTACATATCTGCTCTTGATCATTAGATACAATGTATACATGAGTGTCTAAAATTTGTCAGGTAAATTACAGTGTTAGTAGAAATACGAGATCTCTCTTTTTGTGTCCCTATTTTTTTCTGTATGGCAAAACTACATTATTTACAAATGTTTCGAATATAATTAGCAATATGAGGCCGTTTAAATAGGTGAAGATCGAATATTTGAAATAGGCGTCTGACAATTTAACGTGTACGAGAACAATGTCCTAGTTCGCACTTATTGAAATATTCTACAATACAAGTCACACGATGGAATTGTGTATTCGAAAAGTTACCTATAGGGTAAGAAATCACGTGATAAAT